TCCCCCTTCAACTTCGGACCCAACTCACAGCCCCACTTTCCCCCGTCATTAAAAAGGGCCCTCTCTGACACCGCGTCGGAATTGGTTGACCCGATTGACTGACACTCAGTCACTGACTCACTCAGTCACTCAGTCACTGGTTCACTCCCACTTCACAGTAAATGATAATGATGATGATGATGAAGATGATGATGATGAAGATGGAAGATGATGATGATCCTCGCCTTTGACGCGGCGCCTTTTTACCGGGTCGCCGAGACATCGCCGAGGGCTCCCCGGGGTGGGCGCGGGGTGCGGGGGCCGCGGCCCCGAGGGCTCCCCGGGGTGGGCGCGGGGTGCGGGGGCCGCGGCCCCGAGGGCTCCCCGGGGTGGGTGGGGCGAGGCCGTGGAGGGCTTTGTAGGTGAGGACCAGGATCTTGAACTGGTTCCTCTGAAGGATAGGGAGCCGATGGAGTCGGGGGAGAGTGGGGGCGATGGGGTCACGGGGTTTGGTGCGGGAGAGGACACGGGCTGCAGAGCTCTGGATTATCTGCAGCTGTGGAGGGAGGGGTTGGGAAGGGCCGACACACAGGCGTTTGCATAGTCGACCCTGGAGGTGATGAAGGCACGAACAAGAGTTTCAGCGCCTGAGGGGTGAGGGAGTGGCGGAGTCGGGCGATGTTACGGAGGTGAGGGAAGGCAGAGCGGGTCATGGCTTGAATGTGGGGGAGAAAAGACAGTTGAGGGTCGAACGAGACACCTCGGTTCCTGACTGGCGGTGAGTTGGTGAGTTGTCGTGTGCAACCATGGGGTTGATGCTGCCGGAGCCTGAGGTGCTGAGGCGCGGGTGTGAGCCGATCAGGAGGGCCTCAGTCTTGTTCACATTCAACTTAGGAAATTTGCCCTCATCCAGGACTTGATGTCCGACAGACAGTCTGTCAGGACAGCAGTGGTCCTGGAGTTGAGGGTGGAGACAGAAAGATAGAGTTGGGTGTCATCCGCATACATGTGGAAGTTGACCTCATGTCTGCGGATGATGTCACTGAGGGAGAACTGGAGTTATAGAGAACTGATCACTGTTTTAGTTTCTTCAGACGAGCAAATAAAACATTTGGATTGTTCTCCACCGTGGACGATAGTTTGTGGACAGTTCTGAGTTGAATTTCCCGACAGTCTCACTCCGAGTAAATAACAGGTTGAACCTGCAATAGCCGAGTCAATCTGTGGTGCGTGGGGGAGTGGAGAAAGAGAACAGCGAACCGTAACATTTGGTGGGAACTCATCAAATTGAGGAAGAATTGGTATTCGCTCAGCTGGAGAGAATCGTATTAAAGAACACAGGCTTCATTCAAGCTATTTTTATTGCACATCCTTTCTGATCTCAGTAAGAGGCAGAGACTTGGAGAAAACTCAAATTCTGTGAGGACGAGCTGGCAAACTAACCTATGGAAAGTTATTTGCTCGAATGCTAAGTCTGCTGCTCAGTCACTCTTAGTCCAGCATATCTGAAACTGCTGTAGTAGGCGACCTGCACCTCTACACTGGGATTATGCTACTATAACTGGAGTCTGCACTGCTGAGGCACTAACTCTGTGTGAAGACACTCATGTCACTCACTCACACATTCACTCACTATCACCAACTGCTCCTGTTTCTGTTCTGCACCACACACAGACAGACACACACACACACACAGTCTAGCGAAGATCCAATCAGTTTTGATCCACTGTTTGATATTTAACAGATGTACTGCTTCTTGGCACAGTTTGCTGGCTGTGATTTTAATGAGGGCTCCTGCATCTCTCCAGATTGTCATCGGCTGTTAAATGACTTGCAAGGGACTGTGTAGAATTTGAACGGAACAGGACTGAGTGAGAAATTTACATGATTGTGTTACTTCTCACAACCAACTTGTGAAATGACAGATATATCACCTCTGGGGAAGATGAAATCCCAGCACTAAAAGGCAGTTTTTATTAGCTGCTATGTAAATGTCAATGATGGATTCAATCTTTCAGAATAATTTGCAGCCAGGAGCTGGATTCTCTGTACCTTCACAAGAATATTTTAAAATGAACGAGAAAGATTAGTTGAATGAACGTGAAAGGAACTATATAAATGTAATTAAAGGACTGCCAGTCAGTTCTCAACATGATGAAGTGGACTGACAAGGTTGATGCGGGGAAATTGTTCAATATAGTGAAGATTTCAGAAAATAGGGAACAGAAACATAAAATATAGGAAGCTAACAGTGGGAACTGACATCAGAACGCTCCCAGGGAAAACACTGAAGCAAGGTTTAAGTGGGTGTATTTCTAGAAAGATAACAATAGTGAACAGAAAAATATACTGGCTGCAGGTTCATAACCTTTCAGAGTCAAACCTGTTGAGAGTGAAGGCTTTTTCTGTCCTAAACTATCTTGTGTTTCAGTTCCTGTATCTACGAGTCTTTATCTACGTGGAGTCCTGTAGCTCAGTGGTTAGAGCACTCGCTCTGCAAGTGAGAGACCTGAGTTCAATCCCAGGCAGAGGGCGAAACCTTGGGCAAGTTTCCTTACTCCACACAGAGCCTAATAATAATCCCTCCAAAAAAAACAATAAATTAGTCATTTTCAATCTACGACTGTTTGTAGAACACTGCTGTGTGCAATTGGCTGCCGCGTTTCGCCCACAAATATACAGTCAATTCACTTTAAAGTCTATTCTGTGAAGCACTATGAGACGTCGAGAAGACACGAAAAGCGCTATATCAAATGCAAGGATTATTATTATTATTTATCTGAGCAGGGTAACCCTTCCCACTCAGCTCTTGTTAACCCTGCAAGCCAAAGTTCTAACAGGTAACATTGTGCTGGACAGGCAGCTCTCAATGGCAAGCTATGGGGTTTAGCTGGTTAGATTCTAGCAGTTACCACAATGTCTCTAAAATGTTCTGGAATTAAGTGAGCAGGGTGTGCCCTTCCCGTGCGGGTACAAACCATTCCAGACACAGAGAAGTTTCCATGTGCAGCTGGCCCACACGTGTGCAGTTCTCAGTCAGGTTTGGATACTCTTAGGAATAGTGATGGTTTTGCACATGTGTCAGACACCTGCCTGATCAAAAAAAAAATACCAGACTCGGTGAAAACATGCCACACCACCACCCTCTCTCTCTCCTCGTGGGACACAGGAACACAACAACAAATTACATTTAAAGAGCGTCTTTCACGTCAGGAGGACATCCTAAGGCGATGGACAGTCAGGGGTCAGGACCTAAGCATGCGGGAGGGGTGGGGTAGGGGTGAGAGAAGGCAGAGAGGTGGGAGGGCGACCGAAGGCACGATCGAAGAGAAGTGTCTTGAGACCGGCCTTGAAAGTGGCAAGGGAGGAAGTGAGGTGAAGAGACTGTGGGATGGAGTTGCAGAGTGTGGGAGCAGAGAGGCCAACGATAGTCGGGCAGGAGACGTGGAGCAGGCCGGACAGAGGCCACTGAACGGAGGGAGCGGGCAGGTTGGTAGGGAACACACAGACCAGAAGTTCACACCATGAGTCAAACATGCCTTTAGCCAGGAAATTCTCATTTCTACCATTATTGGGAAAGGATGGTTTTAAGCTAGTGAAAGTCCGGCAGTACCCCAACAAGGCATCAAACATAATTACAGTGACTGGGTGCAACCCTCCAAAGGAACGAAGAACGGTGACTGTTTGAAGCGGGCCATTTCAGGGGCTGAGTCTTGGGGCATCTCCTAATATCGCATGAAGCTGGTTAGGTCATTGAACTTTGCAACTCACACAGGGTGACAGCGCCATCTGACGACAGACTAGAACTACAAACACAATCCCCAGTTTGGCCAGATCCTAATTAATTTTTTTTTGTAGCCGCACTATTTCCCCACATAAAAGAAGAACACAGCACAAGCCGTAAAATAAGCGTTTGAAACATGAGAGCAATTACTCCAGAAGCTGAAAGTAACCAAAAGCCTGTAAATGGTTTAGTTTTTCAGTTCCATTTAATGAAAACATTCAGTCGTATAAATATAATCCACAAAGCATTAATAAAATAATAATCCTTGCATTTGATACAGAGCCTTATCATGTCTTTGAGACGTCTCATCGAAGCCCTCCACAGAATATACTGTAAAGTGAATTGACTATATTTTGTCAGCAAAACCCGGCAGCCAATTGCACTCAGCAGTGTCTCACAAACATTCGTGGATTGAGTGACCAAATTATTATTTTTTTTTGATGGGATTATTATCCCTGGAAAAGCAATCCACCAATCAAATAACAACCCAGTTCCTACTTACTGCTGGGTAAACAGAGGCCTGTGAAGTAAGGAAACTTACCCAACGGGCTCTTTATTTAGTGCTGCCTTCTGAGAGAACGCAGCTTGTCTGTCACCTGCATTTCCCTCACACATCACCAGTCAGATGAGACAAAACCCTGACTTCACTTCCAGAACCACTCATTATAACACCTACACTGACAGCCTCTGGTCTGGATGTGTGCGTTACATCAGGTTTTCTGAATTGGTGCTTTGTTCTTCAATGTACAAAGCATCTAGTTTGGCATAGAGGCTAGAAATTCACCCTGGAGTGACAGTGGGAAAACACACGAGGAACAATAAAGACTCCTGCTGCTTACTATCCTTCCTGCAATGTGTGTCTCAATGAGGACAGGGACAAGGTCAACTGGTCAGCGGATACACTCCCTGGACTCACACATGAAGACTGGCCACTTGGGGAACAGTAACCCAGCGTGCATCAGCCTTCAGAAGAGGGTTTTAAAGCCAGAGGAATTCACATCAAGCAGATTACATCCAGAACATCTTAGAATTACCACAGGAACGCACAAGTCTACGCACAACGCTCCCAGCCACTGTGTTAAGTGAATAACTGGCAGCTTGGAATGTGTTGAAGAAAATTGCAACCCTACAGTTACCCTACAAGTAACCATTTAACCGACTGATAAACAGCCACTCTAGGTAGTACACAGTCAGAATTCTTATCCTGTTGAACAAACAGGAAACCTGCTGACTCAAGTCAATATTAAATCTTTATTGATTTGCACGTATTCCATTGATTATTTATAAACATCAACTGTACGAGAAGCTGACAGCACAAACTTACATGTTGGTGAATATCATCTGGAGGACCTGCCCATACTGTCCACTTCGTTCAGAGAAAGTCAATGTGATCAAGACAGTGACACGCTGAGGAAAAGGCTGGGTTCAGCTGCACATGTTCGTGGCTGGCACATCATGGCTAACACACATCCACGCTTCTCCCCCATACTCACACTCATCTGTACTGTACCAATGTCCAGCATCATGACTCACTGAGTTCCAGGCCACACAGCCAGTGCCAGCCTTCCAGCCCACTGGGAAAGCTCGGGTCATATCATCGTAAATAGTAGTCGATGACTGCGGAAAAGGCAGCAAAACCACCACATCCAATCACTCCTGCCTTCAGGCCAGCTGTTCACAGAGAAAGAGAGAGGAAAGCAAGTTAGACTTTATACTTATACAAAGAACAAAGGCCTCGTATAGCAACTAAAGTACCACGAGAAGGGGGCTACCAGATTCTACACCTTCTCCCCTTTTAAGATAACCCTATGACCCATTAACTGCTTTATCCAGCCCAGAATGAGCGCCTGTATCCAACAGTGTCTCCAATTCTATCTAACTACTTCCACAGATCACAGAAAGCTGCCTTGGTATACTTCTCTGCCCTAGCTCTGGGGGAGATTCTACATAGAATGACCTTGAACTCCTATCGGGAAACCAAGGTCTTCACAATGTTTATCCGTTCCCAGATTGGACTATTCAGATTTGACCCTGAACCTCTCCCCACTCCAATTCTCAAACTCTTTCATTTCAGAAATAAACATTTATCCCTTTGTTGATGATCACCACAGACAAGACAGTTCATCCAGGTACACGACCCAACACATTGTTCTCTCATCACAAGCTTGAATCGTACAAACTCCCACAAACCCAGCAGCTTTGCAAGAGTAGCCCCACAGCACGGCCTATTCGCTCACCACGGAAACCAATCACTCCTCCTGTGGCGCAACCGCTCAGCACACTGTTCTTCCAGTCCGACTTTCCGCGGTACTGTCAGGACATCAAGAAAAAACAGCGTCAGATGCTTTAAAACTGTTCCATTGTACATTCCTAACAGTGTAGCTTCCACAAAATCAAAACCAATTGTGATGTGAGACTTGATAAGTCACTGATTCAAATCAACACACAGAAATCAGATCAGAAAATACTTCTTCACACAAAGGGTTACACCCCAGACACCCACGTTTTGAAAGCAGACAGAGAGAGCAGGAGGCAAGGCAGAGGCATTTCGAAAGATTTCCAGAGAACCGGACAGAATGGCTGAAAACTCACCTGCCGCAATGAAGGAGGCCAGAGTTGGAAGAGGGCAGGAGAGTAGGGATGCAGTTTACAATTATACAATACCATCATCAAAACTGAACGACCATCAGTGAATATTAATGAATGTAGATAGGAGCAAAGTAAATGTCTCGCTTTCTAAACCAAACCTACCGATTCGATCACACACTCCGTACAGGAGAACATAGCTCCCACAATAGCAAAGTTCTTTGCGTACGACATTCCTCGCTGCCCCATGTCCTTCAGAACCTCCCTGGCCGTCGGGGTTCGCATGGGATCCTTCGGATCAAAGCCCACGTTAGTGTCGATTCCAGCCGTGAAGATACCAAATGCTCCTCCCAACACAAAGCCTGCGAGAGAAAATACACACACAGCTCAGCAAATAGACCTTCATGTGCAATTCTCTCTCGTTCTCCTCCGTTTGCCCCCTCCTTGCTCTGTGTCTCCCCGTCTTCCTACTCCGCCAACCGCCAGTCTCCCCGTGTCCGTGTATTTTAATAACAACAATCCTTGCATCTGACGTGTCTGTGTGTCTCTCCTCCTCTTTAATGTCTCACCCAAAGGGACAGCCCCTGTCAATGCTGCTCTCCCCCCCACACCCCCACCAGCACAGGAGTGAGTGTCATCCTCACACACGGGCTTCATAGGAGTTTCTGTCATGTGTCTGTGTGGCTCCCCCTCATGCACTCAGTCTGCCACTGCGTCTCTCCCCTCCTGTGTGTGTGTGTGTGTGTCCCTCCCCGGGCCTTTCCTCCTCTCACCCCCCACGCAGGCCAGGGCCGCCTTGAAGCCGCAGCTCTCCATTGCTCTCTCCACCATCTTCTGCTCCTCTGACTTGCTGGGCGCGGGGAAGCCGCCGAGCACCGCTTGGCTCAGCTCGTGGACCTGCCGCTTCTCCCCGACCAGGTGCTGGAGCAGCTCCGAGTACTGTAGGCTGCTCCCGGGGCCCGGGGCACCAGCGGCGGCCTCTCCTGCCCCGGGCCCCGGCCCCGGCCCCGGCCGCGGGGAGGTCGCGCTCTGCGCCGCCATGTTGGAATGAATGGGCATGGCGGGCGACGTCATCGCGCGGCCACTTTGCGTGACGCGGTGACGTCGCCGCGCCATGACGCGCCACGTGGCGTTAAGGTGGGAATTTCAAATGATATTCATCTTTGCATTTAATATAATACCTGTAATAATAATGTATTATTGGCTAATAGCACCTTATCACGACAATCAGACGTCTCAAAGCGCTTCCCAGCGTTTTACAGCGCTTATTGTAAAGTGTAGTGACTATGTATTTTGTGGGCGAAACGCAGCAGCTAATTTGTGCGCAGCGGCGTCCCGGAAACAGCCTCGAAGTGAATGAATGACTAATCTGGGAAATTAATTGTTGGGCAGGACATCCCCCGCTCAGAGTCGTGCTCCGCCACTGTCAGGCGCTCTGGGACGCTGCCCTGCATGCGGGGAGCTATATAAATGTTCGCTGTTATGGTTGTTTAATGTCCACCAGAACTTGCAGACGGGATATCGATTTAATGTCTCCTCCAAAGGATTGACTGTATTTTGCGGACGAAACGCAGGAGCCAATTGCGCACAGCAGTGCCCACAAACAGTCTCTATATTATATATATACTGTATATATATAATCATATACACATACGTATAAGCACACACATATACATATATATATACACACCATATAATATATATTATATAGTTGTATTTTTACTTCTTTGCTGCTTAATGAGATCTGAGCTGAGTCCCGTACTTACAGAGGAAGTGCAATGTGCCTCAAGAGACACAAGCAAACTGATTGATTCAGTAAATAGGCCATTGCTGAATTTTCCAGTTAATTATATCCCCGAACTGCTTTTTAACAAACCCGTTAGGTTGACAGCAACTCAACTGGCTATTACTTATTTATGAGCCCACTCAGCATAACATCAGACTGTTGGGGAGAAGGAAAGACAAGTGGGAAGGAGGGGTGGAGTAATGTTTCATCCTGTCCTCAACCTGAATACACTTCATGGTGGGTGTCAGGATTGGAGCTTATATTTCTTATGGATTCTGGTTCCTTTTCCTATGGTTTAGTGGCTGGCCTTCATTTTAATCATGCCCACACTGACATGATTGATATTTTGACCAAAACTAAAGGGGGATATTGAGAGCAGAGCCTCATAATAATAATAATCCTTGCATTTGATATGGAGCTTTATGAAGTCTTTGAGGCATCTCAAAGCACTTCACAGAATGTACTGTAAAGTGGACTGACTGTATTTTGTCCGAGAAACACGGTAGCCAATTTGGGCACAGCAGTATTCCACAAACAGCGATGGACCAGGGAGATCAACAACAACTTGACTTAAGATTTATTTTTCGTCCACAAATATCAATTCACTTTACAGTATATTCTGTGTAGCGCTTTGAGACGTCTCGAAGACGCGATAATACGCTAAATCAAATGCAAGATTATTATCTAGGGCCCCTCACGCAGGTTACAACAACAACAAGATTTCACGTCGGGAGGACATCCCAAGGCGCTGGACAGTTGGGTCGGGACCCGAGCAGGGGGGGATATGGTCAGGGTGAGGGAAGGAGCGAGGAGGGGGTAGAGAGTCGAGAGGGGAGCTGAAGGCACGGTCAAAGAGAAGGTTAGCATCCCAGAGCGTCGCTGTTCGCTGGTTGCAGTCTTCCATTTGATGTTAGATACAATAAATCACAACAGTGCATATCAATAGCACATCATTATAACAACACAGGGCATTATAACACACACAACTAGCTGCAGTCTACCGTGTGCGAGGAGCAGGTGGATCGCGGTGCCCCGATGGGTAACGTAGTCTTTTCCCGGTGACTTCAATGCGCTTCTCTCGGGCGTGGACTACAACACCCGGCGTGCAACGCGGCCACCGCGCAGGCGCGTTCCCTTTACCTGTATCCTTTTACCAGCTGACTTGGGCAGCCGCTTTGACAGCGAGTGAGAGAGGCAGCGGCTGCGGATCAGGGTGAGCACCTGCCCAGGTGAGGGCACCTCCTGCTGCATACTCCATCTCCCAACTCCCGCTGCATACTCCATCTCCCAACTCCTGCTGCATACTCCATCTCCCAACTCCCGCTGCATACTCCATCTCCCAACTCCTGCTGTATGCTCAGGTCACACCCAAGATTTTTCCTTCAATTCTTGGAGATATACAGCTGTTGGAATACACAATGGGATCCATTAGCAGCACCGGGTGCCAATTCAGGGTCATGTACATGAATGGTATACAATACATAATAATGTAATACTTGCGTTTGGTACAGCGCCTCATCACGTCTTCGAGACGTCTCAAAGCGCTTCACAGAATATACTGTAAAGTGAATTGACCGTATATTTTGTGGGTGTAAGGCAGCAGCCAAATGCACACAGCAGCGTCCCACAAGCAGTCATGGACTACAACAATAACTTGCATTTATATAGCGCCCCTCATGCAGGGTAGTGTTCCAGAGCACTTGAAAGTGGCAGAGCACGACGCCTAGCTGGGGGACGGAAGGACCGTATTTTGTGGGTGAAACCTGTATGAAAATCTGGTCAAAGCCTCCATTAAAACTAACCACCTGTAGTTTTAAGTGAACTCTCCATCCCATAATTGTTTCTATGGGCTTCATTTAAAAGTGGGGTGACTGAAATTCAGAACTTAAAGAGAGGTATTAAGCTCAAGAGTCTCATCCAGTCATTCTGTGTTGCAGTATTCCTGCCGTCAGCTCTTAAATAGAACCGCTGTACCGCTCACTGCTACAGGTTCTTGTTCCTCTTTCCATGAAAAAGGGGACCAATGTTTTGAGCAACAGGACGGACACTGAGCGGAATTGTGACCCTGGGCCGGATCAGGCTCAAATTGTACTTCTAGGGCATGTTGACTTTATTAGATCCAGCATGTGAATTCCAACAACAACAACAAGAACTTGCGTTTCTATAGCGCGCTTCACGCAGGATAGAGCCTCGAAGCGCTTAAGAGTACTTAGACGCTCACTGACTCAACCTGCAGTCGAATCAGTGATGGGGTGACCCTGAGGTAGGCCACGCGGAGGGTTGCAGGGTCAATTCCAATAATAATCCTGGCATTATTTATAATAGGACATAGCTGTAAAAGCCACACCAACTAGCAATACACCCGGTGCTCTGTCAGCTGGATTATTTCATGAGACCTTGCTAAGGGCACTATTTACCAACCAAAATCAGCCCCAACACGTCACGGCGGTCAGGGGCTACATCGTAGCTCGTGCGTGCTAGAAATATGCAAATTCTTCTCTTATGCTGTATGCGTATGTGTGTGTATATCTCATTATTTACTTTTGTACATATTGCAAACATTTTATATTATATATGCACTTAATTTCAATATACAAAAATGGTAGGTGTTTGGGCGAGTGATGTGTTAAAGCCTGGTTCTGCTGCAGTCCTTGCCCTAGTTGCTGAGCTGGGTTACCTGAATGCCTGGTGGCAGCTTCTATTTGGAGAATTCCCTGTGGGTAACGCAGAGAGCAGATGAGTCTTCCACGCAGCCTGTGATTTGGTTTAAATGGGTGAGCACAGGAGGAGGGCGACCTGGAGCCTTGTGAGTTAATAAAACTGGAATTTAATAATAATTTGGTCATTCAATCCACAACTGTTTGTGGGACGCTGGTGTGTGCAATTGGCGGTCACATTTTGCCCACCAAATATACAAGTCAATCCACTTTACAGTATATTCTGTGAAGCACTTTGCGGCATCTCAATGACAATATACGGTGCTATATCAAGTGCAAGGATTATTATTATTATTGGATGATTTGTGATAACACCGATTCTCGTCATCTCCTGTATCACTGGGTGTAATATCAGATCAGAGTGCTGTAAACCTGCTTTTAAAGGTTTACTTAGATGGAGCAATGTTCATGAAGGTACGTGCAATGTCTACACACAGCGAGCTGCCATGTCTCGGTACAGAGGAGCCTGTGGGCAGGAGTTTAACTGCTGGTGTGTTAGACCCAAGCTTGCTTTGTGGAGACTGTGGCTGGGATGGCTCATTTCACCCACAAAACAGTCAATTCACTTTACAGTATAACCTGTCAAGCACTTTGAGACATCTCGAAGAGGTGATAAGGCGCCATATCAAATGCAAGAATTATTATTTTACACAGAGACGTTTTGTGATACTTCCAGGTTTCTTCTTCAGAGGATGTGACCGAGTGACAGAAAACTTAACATTCACACAGCGAGTGAGTGGGGCAGTGGCTCTGCTTCAACCAGGAGAGGCCTGTCTGACAGCGACCATCTGCTGCTGACGTTGACAGAACGGAAGCCAGATGTGCAAACAAGGCAATGGGCTGCATTTAAATTGCTCCAGGAACTAATGCAGCAGCAGGTCTGAGAGAAAGACGGAGATGGGATATGAGAAATCGTGATACAGCGCTGTGACAGGCGATCGAGGAGGTAACAACAGGAGATCGAGGAGGTAAGAATCTCTCTTGCTTTCACGGTTTCCTGCCTACTCAGTGCAAGAGGTGAGGTGAGAGTTAACTGTTGGAATAATTTGAGTTTATAATGGGGGTGGGGGTGTTGAATAATCAGAGTGGACACTCCGGATGGGTCGGGAGCAGTGAGTCGGAGCTGGGATCAGAGCCAGTGTGTGTGAGACAAGCTCCACATTCAGTCAGGCTCATATTTCTCCTTCGCTGCCTCTCCTTGTCATATGGTGTCTGACAGCAGCTGCTCCTCACTCACTGCCTGACTCACTCACCTCTTGTTTAAGCAGAAACTCTCCTCAGCCAGCACTCCTCTGCACTTGGCTCCTGTCATTAAGGCAGTAAAAGGCCTGAAATTCCACCTGGTCTGCCTGGGAAGAGCATTTGTGTTTTTGTCTTAAAATTTCTGATTTTTAGAATTTTAAGGGCAGAACTGTGGAGTCCTATAGCCTAGCGTTTAGAGCACTCGCCTCACAAGTGAGAGGATATGGGTTTAATTCCCGGGCAGGGCGAAACGTTTGGCAAGTTTCCTTACTGCACACACACACACACACCTCTGTTTACCTAGCAGTAAGTAGGAACTCGACTGTTAATGAATTGTTGGATCTCTTTTTCGGGGATAATAATCCCTTCAAAAATAGTAATAATAGTAATTTGATCACTCAATCCACGACTGTTTGTGGGACACTGCTGTGCGCCCAGGGCAGGAAATCCCTTCACTATACCAAGACAGAGGAGAAGCTGAACCACCCAGTCATTAGCCAGCAGTGATCCATTGCCAGTCACATCCCCAGCCCTACTCTCTTCCAGATTAAGCAGTGGATGTTTACGGAGTTCTAGGCACCAGGGACTAATCCGCACGCCTTGGAAACATCTCAAAAATGTCAAATATTTGAAGCCCAATTCAGACGTCGCTGTTAGTGAGCAGCGGTGGGGGGGGTGGGGGTGGCGCGGGTGGCACACGAGACAGCCCTGATCCGCTCTGTCCAGGAATCGGGGACATCCCACTCTCACGCACCCGAACCCACCGCTCTTCCACCCTCCCACCTCCACCCTGCGTGCGGAAATCACTGGAGAATTGCTTGCTTACACAGTGGCACCTTCCACAAACCCTTGTGAGAGAGACTTCACCAGCCTGTCACTTCCCCTACGTTTTCGTTATACAGACACGGAAAGAGTTAACTGCAGAGGTAGGGAAGTGGAGCTCTAACCGAGGAGATTTCTGTCGCACCCCCTCCCCCCATCGAAGCCTGGGTGAGATGTTGAGGCCTGGGGAGGTTCTTACGTCCTTTAGCCCCCCCCCCCATGCTCTGCCTGTGGTTTCCTTTCTGGGAAGAAAAGCCTTTGAACCGAAACCAGAGCATCTGCATGAGATCGTAAGGCCAGCTCGCAACCTCTCTCTCCCCTCCCTGGGCAGACATCTCCCACCCTCAGACAACCGTCTCCCCTCTACCCCTCTGGGCACCGATCCACTGCCCACACCCATCCTTCTCCTGACCCAGCCTCAGAGGTACGTATGCAAACAGGGCAAGAGATCTGACTGTATCACCAAAGGATTTTCCAGGCGGTCAGGGCAAAACATTAGGCAACTTTCCTTACTTCACACACACGCCTCTGTTTACCTAGCAGTGAGTAGGAGCTCACTTGTTAGTTGATTGGCGAATCGCTTTTCTGGGGGTAATAATCTCTTCAGAAAGAAAAATTAAAAGAGTAATTTGGTCACTCAATCCTGTGGGGACGCTGCTGTGCGCAATTGGCTGCCGGGTTTCACCCACAAAACATACAGTCAATTCACTTTACAGTATATTCTGTGAAGCGCTTTGAGACATCTCGAAGATGTGATAAGGCGCTGTATCAAATGCAAGGATTATTATTATTATATCATGGGTGATCTATCCCTCAACTCCATTTACCCATTTTTGCTCCATAACCCTTGATACCCTTACCTGACCAAAATCTATCCACCTTATCCTTGAAAATTTGAATGGATCCAGCATCCACAGCCTTTTGGGGGAGAGAGAGAAGAGTTAGTTCCCGATTTCCACAAATCTTTGTGTGAAAAAGTACTTCCTGATTTTACTCCTAAAATGGCCTTGCCGTAATTTTAAGATGATGCCCAACTTGTCCTTGATTCCCCCCAGCAGAGCGTGCAATGTTTGGCAAGTGAGACTCAACAACAACAAGATTCCATTTATAAAGCGCCTTTCACGTCAGGAGGACGTCCCAAGGCACTGAAAGTTGGGAGAGGGAGAGAGGGAGTTGTTGCTGGTGTCTTTGCAGAATTGAGATCCTCGGGATATAAATAAAGAGTCTCGAAATCAGACACGGGTTGATTTCAGCCAGGGTCAGGCAGCCGGTGGCACTTAACATTAACTGAGAGAAGGAATGAACCTCCAGACCAGAGCTGGCACAGGCCAAGATTGTCCTGCCATCTCTCCAAAAGGGTCTCTCTCTCTCCTAAATTGGGGAGTTGGGTGCGTTGAGGGTCTCACTCTACAAGGAAGAGGGGGGGAAGTGCAGTTTTAAACCACAAGATCACATTGTCTAACTGGAGAGAGTGAAAGGGGAAGTAGTTAAGAAATGAATCGTCTGGACGGGAATGAGTTGCCGAGGTGGGGGGGGCAGAGCTGCTGGAGCAGGTACTACAACAACAACAACAACCACTTGCATTTATGTAGCGCCCCTCACGGGTAGCGTCCCGGAGCGTTTGTTTCGATTGGGGGACATTTAAGCACTTCACAGGATATACTGTAAAGTGTAGTGACTGTGTATTTGGGTTTGAGTGGACAGTGAGCGAGCGGAGGGCGGTGCTGGGCTGGGTGGCTTTGCTGATCTCCTATTAAGGTTTATGACGAGCGCTCGCACTTAATCACAGGGGCAACACAAGTACTCGCTCTGACAGGCTTGGCTCAGACACCTCTCAGAGCCTCCTGTTACTCAACCTCTTTTTATAGTCTCGGTGACGGGCTCACAGGTCCCCCTCCTCACCCCCACCCACCGGCTGACCTCTCTCACACACAGACCACAGGTGATTTCGATCCTGTCCCCCCCGCCCGGATATGTACCCCACACCTCCTGAGGCACGAGCGGAACCCCACCGCCCCCAGGGCTCAGCAGCTCCACAGCCAACTCTCGGGGCAGCCAGAGTGCGAGGAGGTGACTGATGGCGACTTAGAATTGATCTGTCCTTGTCTGAGCTTATTCTGTTTACTGCTGTACAGATAGCGACCTGTGTGTGTGTGTCTGTGTGAGTATGTATGCATCTGTGTGTGCATATAAGTTTATGTCCATCTGTGTGTGTATATAGATATATATACACATACGTGTATGTGCGTGTGTGAGGCCTGGAATGAGGTCATAGTAGTGTTTAAGGAGTCAGTTGTTAATGATTTAGTTCTGCGCTAACTGTTCTGTCCGCTCTCTATCAGCCCAGCCCTGCCCGGGGAAGATGAAGGGGGCAGTGAACAAGCCTGTGACCAGACTGGGGACCCCCAGCGCGGAGAGGCTGAGACCCTCAGTGATGAGAACCTCTTCCCTTTCCTTCCACACAGAGTCCCAGCTCAGCAAGGTACAGGGAGGGCGATGGCGGGGGGCATATCCTCGACTGTTTGTGGGACGCTGCTGTGCGCAATCGGCTGCCGCGTTTTGTTCACAAAATATACAGTCAATCCACTTTACAGTGTATGTATCTTGTGAAGCGCTTTGAAACTCCTCGAAGACGTGATAAGGTGCTATTTCAAGCATTATTACTATAGCCCTGTGTAGACTGAGCACCAGAGGGAGCCAGTTTCTGCTCCAAATTCAGTCAGGAACTGATTTCCCAGCTCAGCTCAGCCATCACCAGGAGAGGCCACTGCCTAACGTGTCATATACACAGCACGGATCACGGTAACCACACGGATGTTGGTGCTTCTGTATGATGTGTGACTCACTGTGTTCTCGTGTGGCCCCCGTATGATATCGCTCCGCTTTACTGTATATCATGCGAAGCGTCCTCCTGACGTCAAAGGCCCTGTTTCAGATGTAAGGATTATTATTATTATTATTAATATGACATGGCTGTGTTGATGTGTGACACGGTGTGACACGGTGTGTTAGTATGAGCTCCTGTATGATAGGTGACCTGCTGTATTGAAGTTTGGTTCCTGTTTGATGGATGACACGGCTGAATGGTGCTGTATGTTGTTTGACATGCCGTATGTTCCTTGTATGTGGTGTTGGCACATATGTTGTGCGACACGCTGTGTAAGCGTGTATGTTGTGTGACACACTGTTAGCATGCATGTTGCGTGACCCGCGTGTTAGCGTGTAGTCGGTGTATGTTGTGTGACACACTGTTCACTTGCCACCAGGTGAAGAGCCGGAGCAGTGATGATTTGCCATTGAGGACGGGAGGCGGTGGCGTCCCAACCACGTCAAGGATGAAGAAAACTGTTACCATGGGAGCCATCTCCGAGCTCACAGAGAACAGGGTGAAGATCAGTGGAGGTACGGGGGTGGGGAGGGTGGGGGGGTGGGGAGGGTGGGGGTGTGGGGAGGAGGGGATGGAGATTACAGCAATAACCATAATAATAATAATCGTTGCATTTGATATAGCTCCTTGTCATGTTTTCGAGACGTCTCAAAGTGCTGCACAGGAATTTCTGTCAAGTGTAGTGACTGTGTATTTGTAGGTGATCGAGGCTGCCAGTTTGCACACAGCAGTGTCTCCACAAACAGCTATGGAGCGAGGGACCAGTCTCATTTGGGGATTGTTGGCCACCGGCAGAGAGAAACTCCCTTCTCTTTTTGAATAGCGCCACAGGATCTTTAACGTCCACCTGAACAGGCAGACGGGACCTTGGTTGAACGTCTCATTTGTAGAATAATAATAATAATCAATCTACGAACTTGGTGAAATGTTTCGTTGAAAACTTTTAGGTAAAACTTTTTGAAACAAAAATAGACTCTTTTATTAGAGGCCAGAGCAGAACCAGGGGTGGGTTTAGCAGGCGAGCGAGTGGGAGAGCTGCAGAGTGTGTGTGTGAGGCTCAATATAGCTTTGTGCTGGTGACAGGGAAACAGAAGCCAGTGATAAAGAGTGAGAGATTCTCTGCACTGACAGCATTGTCTGGCACTTTCACTAACACGGCCTCTCCCATTCACTCCAAAGGCATTAGCTCATTGGAAGCTGCTGTTACAGCTAATGTGATCACACACCCCTTTAACACGGCACATCGTTGCTAACTAACTGGACAGAGTCCTGTCTCTCACTCTCTGAGAAGCCAGGAACCCCTCGTGTTCTTGACCATCTCACTTAACGTACCCTGACCTCCGCCCACCCCCCCCCCCCACCTCCTGAACCCCTTCTGTCTCACACACACGTGGGAAGGAGCTTCACATCTGTCAGTACGTCTGTGCTCGGTGGGAGAGCACAGCTGGAAAAGTTTGGGACATGGGCAACCAGCTTGGGAAGAGCGAGAACCAGCAACAAGGTTTGAAATTTCTGCTCGAACGTTCGGTGTTCTGTGTTTTGGATTTGGGGTGGGATTGGGCTGCGGTGGGGGGGGGGGAGGGGAACGACTAAAAAAAATAATGTGAGTGAGGTTTTGAGAAAGCGGAGGCCAGTCGGGGAGAGCAGAGAGAGAGCACTGTAATGAGCAGCTGATAGAAAAATAGAAAACAGATCATGAGCAAAACGTGAGCACATTCCAAAGACTCCCACTCATTGACTCCAAGCCAAGTGGGTTTGCTGGGAAAACCAATACATCTCTAGGCTTTGTCTGCATATTCCCTGGGGTTTTCTGGGAATGCCCTGGGGCAGATGTCAGCATGGTGTCAGTATTCCTTGTCCACCCGATTCAACAACAGATTGCTTTTTTAGAGCGCCTTTCATGTCGGGAGGACATCCCAAGGCACTGGATTCAAGGCAGATTGGAGTGGTTCCCCAGAGGGGGCTGTGAAGAGGATGTGGGAGGAATGGTTTAGGGTTTGAGAAAATAAAGGCTGGTTTGTAGAAGTGTCTGAGTAAAGTGTGGCAGTTCAGTCACTACCAAATAACAATAATAATAATTTGGTCACTCAATCTACGACTGTTTGTGGGATATTGCTGTGCGCAATTGACCTCCGCGTATCCCCCGCAGAATATAGTCAATTCACTTACAGTATTATTCTGTAAAGCGCTTTGAGACGTCTCAAAGATGTGATGAGGGGTTTCACAGTGAAATGGATGTTCCTGTGTATCAGTGATCACTGTAATAGAGCTTCAAGCCAAAGAGATAACGCACACCATGCCTTTTACATTGGTTGCGCTTCACATAGACAGTGCAGTTGGCCGAGTATGGAGGAATCTGGTGCAGTGAACAGTACAGGCTGTGAGAATCTTGTATGATACCGTGTCAGATAAGGAAGGGGGAGTAGAGTAGAATGCCAACACTGGAACCACATATTGCCCGAAGATTAGGCTGGGGCGAGGACTGTACTACCAAGGACACCGTCACTATCTGCTTCAGGTTTAGCAGCCAAAGATCTGTTAGCGAGGGAGACAAGTAGAGCCACAGACTCTGCGTTATTCTCTATTACGGTGGAATCCTTTTAGTAACTGTACGTGTTAACCCCCTCATTGGCAGCATGGCCCCGTTCACATATTAGCGACCCCGGGCATGCTCAGACTCCTGTCAGTACTGTGGAGCTTAATGATTAGAGCACTCGCCTCGCAAGCGAGAGGACTTGGGTTCGATTCACGGGCAGGCAGGGCAAAACCTTGTGGCATGTTTCCCTACCCCGCACACCTGTTTTACCGAGCAGTAAGTAGGAACAGAATATAAATATAATATACAAACAATGAATTGGCTGTGTATTTTGTGGACTGGGGAGCTGCTTCTTGACTCGCTGGAGAGAACCAGGATTGCTTTAACGCGATGAGATAGATCCCGGGTGGCGTTGGAATCCCGAGGTCAGTGTCAGACAATTGTAACCAATGCCTCATCCGGGCTCCGCGCTCGTTCTTTCCAGACCGCTGCTACAGTAAAACGCTGCTGCATTGTCCTGACGGCAGCACAAACAGCAGCTTCGCTGTTCTGGAAAATGTGGAGAGGTCACGGACCCCATCGAGTGACTGATCTCCCACCCACTCTCTCTGCCCTGCCCTGTTCCGCTCTGTCTCTGAGAAAGGCCTTTGTCAGACATTTAACTACGTGTTCAGCGCCGGATAAGCAAGTTGTTGTAGTTGCTGCTTAATCAACTGGCGGATCACTCGCCTGGCGTAATAATACCATCAAAATAATAATTTTGGCACTCAATTTACAAGTCGTGGGACACTGGTGTGCCCGATTGGCTGCCGGGTTTCGCCCACAAAATCAATATACAATCAATTCACCTTACAGGATATCCCGAGAAGCGCTTTCGAGACGTCTCAGTGATGTGATAAGGTGTAACGTCAAATGCGAGGATTATTATTATTATTATGTTGCACTCGAGGCAGATGTGATGTCTGCAGGTTTGTTCACTCAGCAGCTCAGGTACCCTCAGGCAGTCAGTGACGTGTTCACTGTCTGGATGGTAAGTCGGCTGCAGCGGTACATTGGATGTGTTAACCCTGAGGCCAACAGCCATTCTCTGCACGAGAACCATACCCTGGTTTGATAGATGATGTTTAAGCGCTTCGAGACGCCACCCCATGGAGAAGGGACCTATGTAAATGCAAGTTGTTGTCACTTTACAGGGATGCACGTTCTTACCCTCGGCACAAACCGTTCCTAGCCATCAGAGAGGCGCCAGGCGTGGGTAACGCCGGTCAGCGGGGAAGGTGCCGGGCATGGTGGGTTCCCAGCTGCAGTGACGGTGCCGGGCATGGCCGGTGCAGGTCGCTGCGAGGCTGTGGTTTGCGGGTGTTGGGAGTGTCTCTGGAGTGCCCAGGGGGCTGGGGGTGTTTCGCAAACAGCAGTCGCCTTGTTCCTTCCTCTCCTCTCTCACTCCCTCTGTTATTTACCACACACTGCGCTTATTGTACTGCGAGTGGAGCTTTGTGCGTCTCTCTGTCACTGGGAGCCAAGCCAAGGCTCCTTACCGTCCTCCAACAAAATAGTAATAATAATAATAATAATCCTGGCATATAATATAACGCCTCATCACGTCGTTGAGACGTCTCAAAGCGCTTCATGGGATAAACTGCAAAGTGGAGCGACTGTGGGGGGGGGGGGGGGGGGGGCAGTATTACTATGTGTGTGGGGGGGTGGACAGTATTACTGTGGGGGGGACAGTACCACTGTGGGGGAGGCAGTATTACTGTGTATGTGTGGGGGGGGCAGTATCACTGTGTGTGTGGGGGGGTATCACTGTGTGTGTGGGGGGGTATCACTGTGTGGGGGTATCACTGTGTGTGTGGGGCAGTATCACTGTGTGTGTGGGGGGGTATCACTGTGTGTGTGGGGGGGTATCACTGTGTGTGGGGGGGTATCACTGTGTGTGTGGGGGGGTATCACTGTGTGTGTGGGGGGGTATCACTGTGTGTGTGGGGGGGTATCACTGTGTGTGGGGGGGGTATCACTGTGTGTGTGTGTGGGGGGGTATCACTGTGGGGGTGTGGGGGGGTATCACTGTGTGTGTGTGTGGGGGGGTATCACTGTGGGGGGGTATCACTGTGTGTGTGTGTGGGGGGGTATCACTGTGGGGGTGTGGGGGGGTATCACTGTGGGGGGGTATCACTGTGTGTGTGGGGGGGTATCACTGTGTGTGTGTGTGGGGGGGGGGTATCACTGTGTGTGTGTGTGGGGGGGGTATCACTGTGTGTGTGTGTGGGGGGGTATCACTGTGTGTGTGTGTGGGGGGGTATCACTGTGTGGGGGTATCACTGTGTGTGTGTGGGGGGTATCACTGTGGGGGGGTATCACTGTGTGTGTGGGGGGTATCACTGTGGGGGGGTATCACTGTGTGTGTGTGTGGGGGGTATCAGTGTGTGGGGGGTATCAGTGTGTGTGTGTGTGGGGGGGTATCAGTGTGTGTGGGGGGGTATCAGTGTGTGGGGGTATCACTGTGTGTGTGTGTGGGGGTATCACTGTGTGTGTGTGTGGGGGGGTATCACTGTGTGGGGGTATCACTGTGTGTGTGTGGGGGGGTATCAGTGTGTGTGTGGGGGGTATCACTGTGTGTGTGGGGGGTATCACTGTGGGGGGGTATCACTGTGTGTGTGTGTGGGGGGGTATCACTGTGTGTGTGGGGGGGTATCACTGTGTGGGGGGTATCACTGTGTGTGTGTGGGGGGTATCACTGTGTGTGTGGGGGGTATCACTGTGTGTGTGTGGGGGGGTATCACTGTGTGTGTGTGGGGGGGTATCACTGTGTGTGTGGGGGGGTATCACTGTGGGGGGTATCACTGTGGGGGGGTATCACTGTGGGGGGTATCACTGTGGGGGGTATCACTGTGGGGGGTATCACTGTGGGGGGGTATCACTGTGTGTGTGTGTGGGGTATCACTGTGGGGGGTATCACTGTGGGGGGGTATCACTGTGGGGGGTATCACTGTGGGGGGGTATCACTGTGGGGGTATCACTGTGGGGGGGGTATCACTGTGGGGGGGTATCACTGTGTGTGGGGGGGGTATCACTGTGGGGGTATCACTGTGGGGGGGTATCACTGTGGGGGGTATCACTGTGGGGGGGTATCACTGTGGGGGGGTATCACTGTGGGGGGTATCACTGTGGGGGGTATCACTGTGGGGGGTATCACTGTGGGGGGTATCACTGTGGGGGGTATCACTGTGGGGGTATCACTGTGGGGGGGTATCACTGTGGGGGGTATCACTGTGGGGGTGTATCACTGTGGGGGGTATCACTGTGGGGGGTATCACTGTGTGTGTGTGGGGGGTATCACTGTGGGGGGTATCACTGTGGGGGGTATCACTGTGTGTGTGTGGGGGTATCACTGTGGGGGGTATCACTGTGGGGGGTATCACTGTGGGGGGTATCACTGTGGGGGGGTATCACTGTGGGGGATCACTGTGGGGGGGTATCACTGTGGGGGGTATCACTGTGGGGGGTATCACTGTGGGGGGGTATCACTGTGGGGGTATCACTGTGGGGGGTATCACTGTGTGTGGGGGGTATCACTGTGGGGGGTATCACTGTGGGGGGGGTATCACTGTGGGGGTATCACTGTGGGGGGGTATCACTGTGTGTGGGGGGGTATCACTGTGGGGGGGTATCACTGTGTGTGTGGGGGGTATCACTGTGGGGGTATCACTGTGGGGGGTATCACTGTGGGGGGGTATCACTGTGGGGGGTATCACTGTGTGTGTGGGGGTATCACTGTGGGGGGTATCACTGTGGGGGTATCACTGTGGGGGGTATCACTGTGGGGGGGTATCTGTGTGTGTGGGGGGTATCACTGTGGGGGGTATCACTGTGTGGGTTCTGTGGGGGGGTATCACTGTGGGGGGTATCACTGTGGTGTGTGGGGGGGTATCACTGTGGGGGGTATCACTGTGGGGGGTATCACTGTGGGGGGTATCACTGTGGGGGGTATCACTGTGTGTGTGGGGGGGTATCACTGTGGGGGTATCACTGTGGGGGGGTATCACTGTGTGTGTGGGGGGTATCACTGTGGGGGTATCACTGTGGGGGGTATCACTGTGGGGGTATCACTGTGGGGGGGTATCACTGTGTGTGTGGGGGGTATCACTGTGGGGGGTATCACTGTGTGTGTGGGGGGTATCACTGTGGGGGGGGTATCACTGTGGGGGGGTATCACTGTGTGTGTGGGGGGGTATCACTGTGGGGGGTATCACTTGGTGGGGGGGGTATCACTGTGGGGGGGTATCACTGTGTGTGTGTGGGGGGGTATCACTGTGTGTGTGTGGGGGTATCAGTGTGGGGGGGTATCAGTGTGTGTGGGGGGGTATCAGTGTGGGGGGGTATCAGTGTGTGTGGGGGGGTATCACTGTGGGGGGTATCACTGTGGGGGGGGTATCACTGTGTGTGTGTGGGGGGGTATCACTGTGTGTGTGTGGGGGTATCACTGTGTGTGTGGGGGGGTATCACTGTGTGTGTGGGGGTATCACTGTGTGTGGGGGGTATCACTGTGGGGGTGTGGGGGGTATCACTGTGGGGTGTGGGGGGTATCACTGTGGGGGACAGTATCGCTGACGCTGCCCCTGTTCCCCCCCTCAGGGCCTCTCCCGCTCCGACGCTCCGCGATTCCCGCTCCCAGAGAGACGCCGCCGGTGAAGGACCGGAGCCCGCGGGAGCGGCCGCGCTCTGTGCCGGTCAGGAGGGCCGGGGCCGGGGCCGGGGCCGGGAATGCCCGGGCCTCGGGGGCGGGGGGGAGGCCGGAGCGGGAGCGGGAGCGGGAGGCCGGGGACCGCGCCGCGCTGGACGCCCACGTCAAGCAGCTGCTGTCGGAGGCCAAGGCCAAGGACCTGGAGCTCAGCAAACTGCGGGGGGCGCTGCAGCGGGAGCGGCTCGACGCCCAGGCCGGGCCGGGGGAGGCGGGGGCCGGGCCGGGGGAGCGCGTCAACGGAGGCCCGGGCTCCGGCTGCGGCCTAGTCGCCGGGCCCGAGCCCGAGCCCGACCCCGGGCCCGAGCCCGAGCCCGGCCGCTCGCTGGGCCTCCGGCTGCGGCGGATGGAGGAGGAGCAGCGCAGCGCGGCCGAGGAGCTTCAGGCCACGGCCCAGGAGCTCGCGGACCAGCAGCAGTTGGTGCAGGAGCTCAGCGCCGACAACGAGCGGCTGTGCGCCGAGCGCCGGGCCCTGGACGGCCGCCTCCAGCGGGAGCGCGACGGCCTCGGGCGGCTGGTCCGGGAGAACCGGGAGCTGGCGGCCCTGCTGGAGGCCGCGAGAGGCCGGGCCCGGGCCCCCGCCCCCGGGGAGGGGGAGGGGGAGGGGGAGAGGGGGGGGGGCGAGGCGGCCCCGCCGCTGGAGCCGGAGGTGCAGCGTCTGAGGAGCCTATTGGCCGCTGTGAGTATCAGAGCCCCCACTCCCCCCCCCCCCACTGTGTCACTCCGTGTGTGAGGGTTCAGGCTCCACACCCCCTCACTCTGTGTGTCACTCCCACTCTCGCTGTCACTCCCGTCTCACTGTCACTCTCGCTCCCGTCTCGCTGTCACTTTCGCTCCCACTCTCACTCTCGCTCCCGTCTCGCTGTCACTCTCGCTGTCACACTCGCTCCCACTCTCGCTGTCACACTCGCTCCCGTCTCGCTATCACTCTCGCTCCCACTCTCGCTCCCGTCTCGCTGTCACACTCGCTCCCGTCTCACTGTCACTCTCGCTCCCGTCTCGCTGTCACTCTCGCTCCCACTCTCGCTCCCGTCTCGCTGTCACACTCGCTCCCACTCTCACTGTCACACTCGCTCCCGTCTCGCTATCACTCTCGCTCCCACTCTCGCTCCCGTCTCGCTGTCACACTCGCTCCCGTCTCGCTATCACTCTCGCTCCCACTCTCGCTCCCGTCTCGCTGTCACTCTCGCTCCCACTCTCGCTGTCACACTCGCTCCCGTCTCACTGTCACTCTCGCTCCCGTCTCGCTGTCACTCTCGCTCCCACTCTCGCTATCACACTCGCTCCCGTCTCACTGTCACTCTCGCTCCCGTCTCGCTGTCACTCTCGCTCCCACTCTCGCTGTCACACTCGCTCCCGTCTCACTGTCACTCTCGCTCCCGTCTCGCTGTCACTCTCGCTCCCACTCTCGCTCCCGTCTCGCTGTCACACTCGCTCCCGTCTCGCTGTCACTCTCGCTCCCACTCTCGCTCCCACTCTCGCTGTCACACTCGCTCCCGTCTCACTGTCACTCTCGCTCCCGTCTCACTGTCACTCTCGCTCCCACTCTCGCTGTCACTCTCGCTCCCGTCTCGCTGTCACTCTCACTGGATGGACCTTGGTCTTCTTTCATCCAGAAAATTCTTCTGTTCCAACCCCCGTCCCGTCCCCCCACCACCCCTCACTCCCTCAGGTGGAGAGTAAGCAGCCGGAGGCTCACGCGCAGTGCGAGTGTCAGGCCAAGGAGCTGAGCTCCGCCGCACACAGACTGCAGGAGGAAGCTCAGGAGAGGGAAAGTCAGATCAAAGACATGAAGGAGACCATCTTCGAGCTCCAGGACCAGGTGGAGCAGCACCGGGCGGTGAAACTGCACAACAACCAGGCAATCCTGGAGCTGGAGAGTAAGTCCTGTATCTCAGTGGTTAGAGCACTCACCTCGCAAGCGAGTGGGCCTGGGTCCGATTCCCGGGAGGGACGAAACGTTTCCCTTACTCCACACGCCTTTGTTTACCTGACAGTAAATAGGAACGCGGTTGTTAGTCAATTGGCGGATCACTTTTCCGGAGGTCATAATCCCTTCGAAAGAAAGTGTGCGTGTGTTGGTGGGACGTGCAGTGATTCTCTCTCTCTCTCTCTCTCTCTCTAATCGAGACACGGTGCTGAAGCTGGAGGAACAGAATCGAGACCTGGAGAAGCAGCTCAAACTGCTCAACAAGAAGCTGAAGGTAAAGTGACTGACCCGGGTCAGGGGCTTGACCACAGGATAGTCACAGCCTCCCTCCCCGCCCCAGGCCCCCCCCCCCCACCTGTGCAAGGGACTAGGGTCTCTGATGCCAGTGAGTGGGCAGTTACTGGGGTCTCTGATGCCAGTGAACGGATAGCGACTCGCGTCTTTGGTGCCACCGAACGGGCAATACAGGGTCTTTGGTAGGTGGGCAGTGCCTGGGGTCTCTCTCGTGCTCTGATCTCTCTCTCTCTCTCTCTCTGTCCGCTCTGCTCGCAGGAGGACACCCAGGAGTGGCGCTCTTTCCAGGCTGACTTGCAGACGGCCGTGGTGGTGGCCAACGACATCAAGTGTGAGGCTCAGCAGGAGGTGCGGGCCCTGCGCAGGCGGCTACAGGAGGAGGAGGCGCGAAGCGAGCGGCTGGACCAGGAGCTGGAGACCCTCCGCAGCCACAGGTCAGACCAGACCCCGCACCCCCGTTCTCCCGCCCACTCCCCGCCTCCGAGAGCGGTTCACCTCGCTGCTCTCTTGTCACTTGGGAAAATAACGTGGTCTGGAATGGTCGGCAGGCTGCCCTGTGTCGCGCACGCACGCTTGCTCTCACGTGGCCTGCTCCTGCTGCTGTAACTCACTTCTGTTGCACTTGTTGATGTACAATCGTGTCGCACGCTCCTCTCGCACTGTAGTGTGGCTCGCTCTTCTCGCACGCTCTGCACCGTCAGTGAATTCCCTTTTACAGTGTATCCTGTGACGCGCTTTGAGAAGGACGTATCAACGACGTGATAAGCCGTTACCTGTGTCAAATGCAAGGATTATTATAATCACATCGCACGTTCTTCTTACCCTCTCGCATTGCTTGCTCCTCACTCTCCTGTCTCTCCTGTCCACCCCCCCTCCCCCATCGGGGCATATCCTATCCTCCCTGTTGGGGTGTTTTCTGCTTCTCCCTCACAGGGAGTCAACCCCAACCCCAGAGCCAGGAAGGGGAGGGTTGCTGGTTGTGGGATCCAGACACTCGTTCCCCCAGCACCCCCACCAAGTGCAGCCACTGTCTGTGACTGTCTCCAGTGGTGGTATATGGGGGTGGGGGGAGCGATTTTCCTCGCTCCTCACAGTTTCTCTGAATCCCGTTCTCTCCCTGGTTCGTCCGCAGGTCCGATCCCGCGCTCCTGAAGGAAAGTTCCTCCCAGACACCAGCGCTGTCCGAGAGCAGCCATGACAGTTAGAGCGGAGCGTCCGACCGGTTGCTTGTGGGGGGGAGGGGGGCACAGAGTGAGGGGAGGAGGGGGGGAGCTATCTGCGGACATTCAGGACTGTGGCTCGCGGGTTCTGAGCAGAGGTCTCCGGGCTCGTGGCTTCCCCTCTCGGAGGTCCAGGATCAGGCTGTGCTCTTGAACACTGAATCCTCCACCCAGAGTGACCTCCAGCTGTCAATGCCAGCCAACTGTGCCCAGGAGAGGACATCAGGCATATGTTAGTCATCAGACAGCTAACCAGCCTGGTCAATGGATAGATGCCAATGGAAGTCCTCTCAAGACAGCTGGTTCAACCACGTACCTCCACGTAAATGCCTTACAACAGCCTATTGCACAGCCCGGACACCCTGTGACTGCATCGCTCAGAGGGGTGAGCCCTCAGCACTAACTCAGCAGGTCCCACTCCCACCCAAACCCTGTGACGCAACATCATCCATCAGTTACCATCCCAGCCTCTAAGAGTTGAGGACCATCTGCTGAGCTGTGGTGGTCAGACAGGGCAGCGGACACAGTGTACGGCTGGAGACACAAATGCTGAATGCGAGATCATCGGGCTGATGCCAGTGTCCAGTCTCCGCAGCATTTTGCCTGATTTCAAACCCATTCCCAGCTTGTTCCTCAATCAACCCCACGCCCTCCTCCACCCCGGCCACAAGCCGGGCTCTCCAACCCGTCCGCGCAGGAGAACGGTTTCGTTTTTACATTTAGCAAAGCTTCACCTGCGTGACACTTCGCTTTATTCGGAGAGCGACGACAAGGTCCCTTCCTTCACACAAAGCCCACTCTCAGCCAAAGTCCCGCTCAGTCCGTGGCTCCCGCGCACAGGCACTGTTCCAGCAGCGATCAGGAGCACAAAGACTGGGCTTGGATTCTTTTTTTTCAATCCTACGTTCAGTTTTTATTTGATTTTATTTTTATTTTTTATTTTTTATTTTATTTTCATCGCTCAAGTCCTTTGTGTCATGAATGGGTGCAGCGCTGCAATGCAACAGCGCCCCCACCAGGCACGTGTCAGCACTGTACCCTCATAGTGCCCCCTGCTGGCACCGAGCAGTATCGCACCCATCAGACACTTGGTGATACTACGTGCCTTTATTCGCTATGACGGTTATTTATTTTTTGTTACCTGCTCATTTAATCTGAGGATTAATAAAGTGAACAAGATGATAGCTCAAGGGGTTTGGACATTCCGGTTTCATCCTGAGCCCCGCAGCTCAGTGGTCAGAGAGCTCGCCTCGCAGGCGAGAGACCTGGGTTTGATTCCCAGCAGGGCGAAAAGGTTTCCTTCTCCACACATCTCTGTTTGCCTCGTAGTAAGTAGGAACCCGGTCGTTAGTCGGCTGGCAGATCCCTTTTCCGGGGGTAATAATTGCTTTTTAAAAAAAATTTGGTCACTCAATCCGCGACTGTTTGTGGGACGCTGCTGTGCGCAATTGGCTGCCACACTTCACCCACAGAATATACAGTCAATTCACTTTACAGTATATTCTGTGAAGCGCTTTGATGGGACGTCTCAAAGTCGTGATAAGGCACTACATCAAATGCAAGGATTATTATTATTATAACTGTTGGTTATCTGCAGCCTGACCTCTCACATGTCTGCTCTCCACACCACAAGACCATTTGAAAGAAATACTTGATTTATTTTCAGAGCTAAGCAAAACTCAGTTACAAATTATGGGTTGCAGCACATTTCTGGATTGAGTTGGGTCAGCCTGCCTCTGTTCGTAGCTCTCTCACTTCTCTGTCGGAAGAATCTCTGTCAGTCTAGACTGTGGGCTCACACCTCCCCTGGTTCAAGCCCCAGGTTGAGATTCATGGTCACAGTCTAGACTGTCACAGCAGTCCAGTGCTGCATTGCCCAAGGTGCTGCCCATCGGATGAGACATTAAACCGAGGCACCGTCTTACTCTACCGTTGAAGTTCCCATGACACTATGAGAAGAGAATTTCTCCCAGAGTCCAGGCCAACAAATCAAATTACCTGTTGGTCACCTCATGGCTGCTGTGTGCATAAAGGTATGACACTCGACAGTGATTGCTTGTGAAGCGCTGAGACATTTTGCTGTGAAATGGTGCTATAAAAATCTTTCTTCAGTTACCTGTTATGTTGCTGGAGTCCCAGTTTTGATTCCCGGGCAGGACGAAACCTAAGGCAAGTTTCCTTACTCCACACGCCTCTGTAGGAACCCGGCTGTTAGTCATTTGGCGAATTGCTTTTCCGGGAGTAATTGTCCCTTCAAAAAATAAATAATAATTTGGTCACTCAATCCACAACTGTGTGTGGAATACTGCTGTGCACAATTGGTTGCTGCATTTCGCCCACAAAATATACAGTCAATCCACTTTACAGTATATTCTGTGAAGCGCTTTGAGACGCCTCAAACGTGATAAGCTGCTATATCAAATGCAAGGATTAGTAAATATTATTATGACTGATCAGCTGAGAGTGGATTCCAACTGAAGCATGACGGACAATGTGGAGGGTACGCCACATTCTCACTGGCCTCTGTGCCAAGTCACATCCCCGGGTTGGCTTTGAGGCTAATTTTCGTTTCCGAGTCTAGGAAACTCTTGTGGACTCAGCTGCTGGGGAGGGGGTCAACTAACCTGGTACAGAACGGGACGGGAACCTGTGTGCAGAACACACAGTCGTTCCCCTTTACAGTATATTCTGTGAAGCGCTTTGAGACGTCTTAACTATGTGATAATCAAATGCAAGGATTATTATTGTTATACTATTAAAACCGAGAGGAGCCGTGACCCATGACCCCATCCAGTGAATGGCTCGTGTGTGCGTGTGTGTGTGTGTGTGTCACAGACATGATGGGGGAGGCTGGGCTCTCTGTGTGTTTCTATCTGAACCCAGTGACTTTGCTCTGTCTCAGGCTGACCGTTGATGAGCCCCCCTCGGACCCCCTGACATGCTCCACCGATGGCCCCTGGCAGCGAGACCCCGGCCGCTCATTGGCTATTTCATCACAGCCGACCCCTAAAGTCAAGACGCTCATCAAATGCTTCGATGTCTCACATTCAGGTTCCGTCCATTATACTCGTATCTGTTATGCAACCAATATCTGTGATGTGTCTGGACGGCGTTACATTCTCTTCCTCACCACTTCCTTGTCTCCTTCAAGGCACGTCTCAAGATCTTCCTTTTCGACCAAGCCTTCGTCCACCCTCCTACCCCCGCCCACCCTGCCCTCCCTCCCTCCTGATCCCACCACCCCCAGCTCAGGTCCAAATCCCTGACTGTCCAGCTCCTTGGGACGTAACTTGCATTGTATTAATTGACTTTCTGTTTTACGGTGAGAGGGTTACTAAGGTTATGGAGCCATGGTTCCTATGGCACCAAACATCGCTCAGCGGTGGCTCCACGGCTCACAACGTTGACCTGATGATGATACCAGGACAGAGCTGATTTGATGTTCGTTGTGGCTCAGGACTGATTTCCAAAGCTTTTCTGGGAACGCCAGCAGGTGGTGCACTCTGTACAGCATTGGCTTGTTCTCCCGCAACAGGCTCCATGACCCCATCCACCTCCCACCAACCCCCACCCTCGCCCGGCTCCGCTGGCTCCCCACCTCGAGCCAGTGGATCGAGTTCGAAATCCTCGCCCTTGCTTCCAAAGCAAGTCGAGTCGTGTCAGTTTCTGGCCAACAATTTCCCCTAAATAAGATCGGCCGCTCACTTCGTAGCTGATTGTGGGACATTAAAGGCAGTTTTTCACCCATAGAGTTGTGGGAATCTGGAAACTCTCTCTCCCCAAAAGGGCTGTGGATTATGGCAGGATCTACTCACATTTTCCAGACTGAGGTGGAGAGATGTTTGTCAGGTCAGGGGATCAAGGGATACGGGACCAGGGTGGGTAATTGGAGTTGAGACCACGGCCTTATAGAATGTCGGAACAGGCTCGAGGGGCTGATTGGCCTCCTCCTGCTCCGATGATCCTACTTGCCGTGCGCAAATTGGCGGCCAACAAATACGATCGCTGCCCTTGACAGGAATGTAGAGTTTGATATCATAACTTGGGTGTATTTAGCAGTTAGTGGCTGTCCTCTTACCTTGACGCTCTCTCTCTCTCTCTCCCACAGTGGGCAGTGGGTCACCATCGCAGATCCCGAGAAGTTCGCCGAGCAGCATTCCCCTCAGAGCGCCTCCTGCTGCTGCCGTCTCTCCAATGCAGGTAGGGCTCAGTCACTCGGGGTCACTGAAGGACTCCTCGTGTGTGCAGTGCGACGAGCTGTAAGTGGGCAGAGTGTGGCATTTTGATTTTAATCACCAACATCACTGCTCGTACAATGTACAAAATGTACCACGTGTTGTCTGACTCGGGAAACCTGGATGATATCCTCGTAACCCATCTCTGCAACATCACCCGCCGCCGCCACTATCTCTCCTCTCGGGCCGCTGAGACCCCTATCCGTGCTTTTATCATATCCAGGCGAGACTAGACTGTTGTTGTTGTAACTGTATGTGTGGGCGGGAGGATATTGATATTGTTGATGTTAATCTTCGCAGAGACACTCATCCGCCACAGCCTCTGGCGTCCTGAAAACAGCTCTTAAAGGGACCGACAAGCAGCTGAGTGTGTTGAAGCTGCCACTCACAGGTACTGTACCAGCCTCCAACACCAACACTGCCGCGAGAATCGGCCCTCACACAAAGGTTTAGTTACCACTAGTGCATGGCGAGGCAGTGATGCAGGGTGACATGGCAGGGAGAGTGAGGGATAGTGGGGTTGCACTGATTTCCTGCTCTGCTCTGGGTTCTCAGGTACGTTTCAGGAACGGTTCGAGGGATATAAACCGGATCGTTACCAGAGCAGCTCTGCCCGGGAGCCAACGTCTCTCCCAACTTTGCCAGCATTCAGCTCCCGCAGCCCCGTCATGTCCCCGACCAGCCCCGACCAGCCTCACAGCAAACTCAGGTCAGGAATGTACCCCCTCGCCTGCCCCAATGTCTGCCCCCCCGTTTGTCTCTGTCTGACCCCCTGCCTGCCCCAGTCTGTGCTGATGGACACTGTGATGCTGAGGCTAACAGCCGTTCTCTGCAGTGTTGAAAGGAAGGACCCATTGGCGGCTCTCGCTCGGGAATACGGAGGATCCAAAAGAACGCACTGCTGAGGTGGTGTCAAAGGAAAACAGAGGGGTATCCGGTGAGTGACACACAGAGACACAGTGAAAGACAGACACACAAACACACACAGTAGAGGTTGGTGAAAGCCAAAGCTTTGGGGACTCAGTGAATGGTACCCCTGGAGTTTAACTTGCTAAGTTTGTCATCGAGAGCACTGACTGGCAAGTTTCCCGCTGCTTGTCCAGGTAGGACCACACTATTCGTTAGAGCTTTGGCTTGCAGGGTTAACGGGAGCCGCGTGGGAAAAATCTTGCCCCAGGCACTGCTCTGTCGCTGTTTAAGTCCTGCCGATGAGCTAGTTTGGCTATACTGCCATCAATAATGCCTGGAGTACTCCGGACTCGCTTGGCTCAGGAGCCAGATTCCAATCTTCCTTTAACAGGAATGTTGGCCAGATTACTTTCCCTCAAGGGATAGTCACAAGTCCCCAGACAGAGAGTGAGGGGAGCAGGCAAGTATAACTAGGATTCAGCTGTCAGGAGCAGCTGAAATCTGTTTCTTTGATTTTTCTCTGAAGTTATGCACAAAAAACCCATCCATGTCCGGTCCCGCAATCACCCACGTCAGTACCACTGTGAAATGGCTGAAACCAGACATATAAGCTGCCCAGAAATGTCACCTCTTTCAATCACAAAAAACATAGTCAACTCACCTTACCGTATATTCTGTGAAGCGCTTTGAGATAAGGCGTTTTTATCAAATGCGAGGATTATTATTATATATTTTTGTCTCAGTGATGACCTGAGAGGAGGGATCTCTCAGTCACTACAGTCATTTGTGTGACGTGCTGCAACTGGGATAAGCCAGCAGTTTGCTTCAGAGTAAATAGCTACACAAATACTAAGGTATTCTCTCTGTCAGTCTGTGGTCTGACAGGCTGTGAGGTCTGACATGGATGTCAGTACGTTTCTCAGACTCCCTATACTGCCACGTGCAAATGTGTGTCTGTTCAGAGGTGGGTTTGAAAACCACGTCCCTGAAGGACAGGAAACCGGAAGTTCAGGAAACATTTGTTTCCTTGAAATAAAAACAGTTCTACCTTTAAGGTCATTTGTGGGACGTGGCTTTCTGCACTGCCTCTTCGAGGCAGGATCACTCTCTGTTTAAGAGGAAGGTTAAAGTCGTTAACCGTGGATGTGCTGAGCTCAGTGACGGAAGCCAACTGTCTGTCTCTAGGGCCACAGTGATGTACTTGGAAGCAAACAATCCCTGGTAATCAACCAAAGTCAAGTGTTCAGACCTGCCCTACTCAAAATCTAGAGTGGTGGCGGCCAAATGATGGCCCGGCCCTGAACATTCATGCCAAGCCCGGAAGTTCCAAATCAATGACTTGTTTGCAGTTACTAATGTGATGCAGCGATAAATCCAGAAATATTCAATCAACAACATTTTTTTTGAGTGGACGACCAAAGAAGGTTGGCTGCTACTGAGCGAGAGAAAATTCTGGACATCACAATCCTGAACGATGGGGATGAATATGGTGCGTGTGTCCTGGCAGGTGTCTGCGTGTCCGAGTGTGTGTGTGTGTGCGTGTCCACATCTCTGTCCTGGCGTGCGTCCTGGCTTGGTGACGCGTGCATGTATATTTGCACTCACGCGCATGTGTGTATGTGTATGTACATGGCTTGTGTGTGTGTGTGTGTGTGTGTGTGTGTGTGCACACGTTGTATTGTGGGACAATGTTTACACAGGGATTCATTTGGACAGCTCTTCAGCTCAAAATATTTATTCACTTTAGCAGTTTATTTTTAGGAGGTTTTTAGAAGCTGTGAGCCTGACCCCTCCACAGCTGGCTGGACCACAGAGACCCACAGACACAGTTACTCAGGGCTGCCAGACATCCGTGAGATTCCGGAAAGATCTACAGCAACGTCCCAGCAAGGACGTGTGGGAACCTGACACCTGAGCACACCACTTTGAGGTCATTGCTTTGAGCAAGTAGCCATTTTGTCCAGAGCAAAGTCCCACGGACAGCCATGAAGTTGGGAGTAGAGACGTGTGTGTGTGTGAGGGGGGGAGGGGGCGTAGAGTGGGGTCGTCAGTGTATCTGTGCATTTATCTGTCTTTGTGGCTCTCCAGGAACCATTTCCCATGAGCTGGGCCCCTTGATCTCCACCCTGCTCTTTGCCTGCGAGACAACAGCCTGAATTAACGAGCGATGTCCAGACCTCTCTGGCAGAGGAGCATCCTTATCTTTGCTCTCAATCCAAGGTGCCTCTTCCCTAGTGTAACTCTACAGCTCAGCCTAGCTCTGTGCGGGGGGGAGGAGTGGGGGCAGAAAGCACAAGATCGTGGGAAAGAGTCATGTGCAGAGATTGTAGTAAGTCTCTTAGCAGCAGGAAGCTTCTCGGTCCTTGGGGGCAGTGTTTTAGGGGACATGGAGGTAATATTAACACAAAGGAAATGAGAATTACACAGAACTGGCACCTGGCCCGGCCTATGTTAGTGTGTTCCTGTCTCAGGTCCAAAAGTCCGACCACTACAGTTATTGAGCTGAATTCCCAGGATCACACGTTCCTGGATTTTTCTTTCAAATTCGGGAATTTCAGTCTCCACCTTCCACTCCCTGGGCACCAGCACTCGCTCAGACTGGTCCATTATCAGACGCACATAACAAACACCCATTGTTGTATAACACATTCCCATTGGAACCTCAGCATCTGTTACACACTTAATACAACGCTCAGTCAGTGGATTACTTTATGCATGTTCTAAGTTTACTTTTATAATCCCATTTAGCATTTTATACACCTCTAGAAGTTCCCATTAAGCCTGAAGGAGACACTAGTGAGAACACTGTTAGGGTATTGGGTCAGCTTTGGGCAATTAATTATAGAAAGTACATAACAGCCATGGAGAGAGGATAGTGGATTCAGCAGAAATTGTAGTTATAATCCCAATCTCACTGGAGCTCTCTAATCAAACCCAATCAGCCAGCATCTCCTTAAGTTTCTTTGGCCCAGTCTGGGTCAGAAGGTTGTGGTTTCAAGCCCCATGTCGGAAACTTTAAGCTTACAGTGCAGCCTCTTCCTCTTCCCTCTGGGGATGCGCTGCATTGTCAGAGATGCTGTTGTTCGGATGAGATGTTAAACCGAGGCCTCGTTCAGGAATAATAATAATAATAGTAATCCTTGCATTTGATACAGCACCTTATCATGACGTTGAAACGTCTCAAAGGGCTTAAAGAATATACTAAAGTGGATTGACTGCGTATTTGGTGGGTGAAACGCAGCAGTCAATTCTGCACAGCAATTATAAAAATATTATTAATTATAAATATGTTCTGGGTATAAATGTGTCCCTGTGCTCATGCCTACCTGTTCCCAGGGTTACTTATGAATAATGATCCACTGTGGTCACTGCTATTTCAGTTGGAGCATTCAGCCTTTAACACAGCACATGATCTCTTTAATCACCCCGTTCCCCGATCCAAGATCATTCTGGGCAGGAATTCCGATTTCCAAAGAGTTTATTTGTTTACGGATGTGAGATGTTTTTACGGGACACAAACATGAGTCTCCTTTTTAAAAGCCACCTACTCCAAAAACTGCAGAGACACAGGCAGTACTGACACTAACCACACATCCAGCTCCACACCCAGCTTCAGTCCCTAACTGCAGCCCGTCCCTAACATGTTACAGGCACATGAACAAATTACACACAGGAACACGTTACAAACAAAAACTTGCATTTATATAGCGCCCCTCACGCAGGGTAGCGTCCCAGGGCGCTTGAACCCAGAGCGTCCCAGACACGGGAACATGTTACAGACACAGGAACCTGTTGCAGACTGAATGTAGTTAGACTGTCAAAACACGGTGTCCTGGCCAATATCCCCTCCATCCAAATTCAGCTAAAGCCAGATTAAAGTAGGTCATTCATTTTATTATATGTGGAATAGTTTGCCTGTATAAAGGTCACCCTAGTTAACAATAACTTACTGAATTCCATCGGGAAGCAGGTTCCACTGTCTCGACTTATATATTTCCTTATTTACCTGTATTTCTTTGAAATGTAATGTATGGAAGTTGACCCTTTGACATGTTTGTGTGAACGTTGCCATAGCTTTGCTCCCTCCTCACTGTGTTTTGTGACTTTCTCTTCCAGAACATTGAGATCACCAATTTCAGCAGCAGCTGGAGTGATGGGCTGGCGTTCTGTGCTCTCCTACACACCTACCTTCCCGCTCACATCCCCTTCCACCAGCTCGGCAGCCACGACAGGGTGAGGCACCCGCCAGCATCTCTCACTGAGCCCCACCAGCCAGACAGTCAGTCAGTCAGTCTGTACCAGTCTGTGCCTCATCCTATCTGTATCTAGGCAAAAATCTCCCCGACAATCTACAAACCTGTATCTGTGTGTGGATCACGTGTCGTGTGTGTGTATTTGTGTGTGAGTCAGTATGTTTGAGTGAGTGACTGTGCGAGTTTGTGTTTGAATTTGACTGTGTGTGAGTGAGTGTTAGTGTGTGTGTGAGTTTGTGTGTGTGAATTTGTATGAGCGTGCGTGTGTTTGTGTTAATGTTTGTGTGTGTGGGGTTGGGTTGGGGATTGTTCGTGTGATGTTGAGTGTATGTTGAGTTTCGCCCACAAAATACACAGTCTTTACAGTATATTCTGTGAAAAGCTTTGAAACATATTGAAGACGTGATAGGACGCAAGATCAAATGAAGGATTATTATTGTTGCAATTCTCACTGATGCTGTTCATTATTTACCAGAAAAGGAACCTGACACTGGCGTTTCAGGCAGCAGAAAGCGTTGGCATCAAGTCTGTCCTGGTGAGTGAGCTCGGGCTGGCTGCTCTATGAGTGTGAGCGTGAGTGTGCACAACGTGTTGTGGTCTTTGAACAAAGAAGCCGACTGTACCCCAAATAATAGGAACTCAACGGGAGAGAGGAGCAACAAGACCGAGGGAGTCAAATTCACAGCACCCAAAAAGTAGCAGCTCAGGTGGACAAGGCCATAATAGTGGAGGTCTGACATTGTCAAGGAAGATTGGTCAGGTTACAGCTTGTCTGTCTGCAGAAGAGACGATTGAGAGAGAATCTGATTGAGAGGGTTTAAGATTATGGAAGGTGTGATAAGATGGACATTAGTTTGTTTCCACTTGTTGATGAATCCAAAACATGGGCATAAATATATAAGACAGCCCGTAGCCAATCCAAAAGGGAGTTTACAGAAATTCCTTTACACAGAGTGGTGAGAATGTGGACCTCGCTATCTGAATCCGTGGTTGACACCGAAAGCATCAATGTATTTAAGAAGTTGTTAGTTGAATGACAGATTGCCATTCCGGGGTAATACTCCCTTCAAAGTAAAAAAAAATTATAATAATTTGGTCACTAAATCCAGGACTGTTTGTGGGACACTGCTGGTCGCAATTGGCTGCTTCGTTTCGCCCACAAAATATACAGTCAATACATTTTACAGTATATTCTGTGATGCTCTTTGAGACGTCTTGAAGACATGATGAGACGCTATATGAAATGCAAGGATTACTATTAAAACTCCTCGAAGTGCTTCACAGGAATTGTTGTAAAATGTAGTATACGTGTAGGCGAACTCAGCAGCCAATTTGTGCACCACATTGCCTCAAAAACAGCCTCAAAGTAGTGAAAGGTCAATTGATGTGTAATACTTAAACCTTTGCCTTCTCTCACAGGACCTGAATGAGATGATTCGCACTGATCGTCCGGACTGGCAGAGCCTGATGCAGTACGTTGGACAGATCTACAGATACTTTGAAACCTGAGAGAACAAACAGTGCACAGGGAGAGGAGAGGGAGAATAGTCTGCTACTGTTAGATGCACTTTGTCACTTTCACCCACGGATGGAGCTTTCCTCTAAGCCGATCACACACTGACCGGCACTGACGTTTGGCCAACGTCAGCAGAGAAACCCATTCGCAAGCACTATTTATTAGAGCAAATTAATTCAACCTCAATTTGAAATGAGGCTTTATTTATAGTCTGTGCAAAGCGATAACGTCAGAGCACATTATATTAATATTATTAGATTATTTATATTCCATGAACTAATTCTTACCCTTTGCTGGTCACAGAGGTAGACAGGGTGGGGGCAAGACCACACAGGGATTTAAAGGTTCGGGAAAGGATCTTGAACTGGAAACGAGAAGGTATTTTAACGTGCCTGCCTGTGACTGAGGTCCAGGCTGTGAGCTCCTCTGACAAGCCAGTGGGTCGAGTCTGGGGTTATATTATAAGATGGTCTCAGTCTTAACTATCTTTCCTAGTTAACTGATTCCAGCTATAATCAGGGCTATAATGGGCCTCGGAAACTGTGAGCGCGGAGTGAAAACGTCAGCCTGGATTCACACTCTTCAGGCCTGAAATTACTCATGGTCTCAGCCTTAAGACTATTTTCTTAAAATCTAAGAAGGTGAAGAAATTTAGAGAGTTCTTCCATTTTGCAGTGTAGACTGTTCACACATGGTTCCTGTGCTGCCTGAAATAAAANCCGAAGCGGCTGGGAACACTCAGAAGGTCAGGCAGCATCTATGGAGAGAGGAAAGTCAGTTCTGACGAAAGGTCATCGACCTGAAACGTTAACCCACTTTCTCCATAGCCTCCATAGCTTCCCAGAGTCTTCTGTTTTTATCTCAGATCTCCAGGATCTGCAGTATTTTGGCCTGTGCTGGCTGAGTTAGGTATTGAACTTTTGCACATTGACATTGTCTGAATGTTACAAGGAACGGTGCTGACGGAAAGAGAGAGAGAGAGAAAGACCCAGTGTTGGGCTTCACGCGTTGACCTTCCTCACAATAACTGCGCGCATCCTTGCTGTGACACTGTTTACTGGAGCAGCCTCTCTGATGTGAAGCTTCATTCCCATTAATAAAGGAATGTAAAAGATCACTAACAAGATGGCGTGTCTTTGTAAGAATATCAAACAGTATGGGCAGGCTGGGCTGTGCAGCCCACTGGAGTTCTGCCCGTTGCCCTTACTCCACACGCCTCTGTTTACCAGCAGTAAGTAGGAACCTGCTTGTTAGAAATTTTAAGGGAAATCTTTGTAATTCTGACCCATTTCCTCTGAGTCCTGTGGGCGGTAACCCAGCACCCAGCGCTCATGGGGTTGAGTTTGTAAATGTCATAAAGAGACCAACGTCCTTGGACAGAACCCCCACCAAACTGATTGGACCGTATTGAGTTCTGGATTTAATTATTCCTGAGTCTGGCTCCACTGGAGAAAGGTGGAGGGATTAGCCGTCACTCCTCCAATAAGTAAGGGCAGGTCTGAGTGTGATTGATGTTCACACCGACACCCTCTATTAGGAAATACTCTATGATTAGAGACTCTGTCCCAGTCTTCAATATGGAGCCGAGTCATTGCTCATCATGGTATTAGCCTTAAGACTTGTTGCCTTAACAAGTAAGTACATTTCTTTGGACAAAAATTCAGCCTTATTTGAATAAAAAATAGTTTTCCCTTAGTTCTTAAAATGAACCAGATTCCAAATTAATAATACTTGCATTTGATATAGCACCTTATCACTTCGTTGAGACGTCTCAAAGCGCTTCACAGAATATACTTTGCACAGCAGTGTCCCATAAACAGTCATGGATTGAGTGACCAAATTTATATTATTATTATTAATAGTAGTCTTTTATTACCCCCAAAAAGCGATACGCCAATCGACTAACAACCGGGTTCCTACTTACCGTTAGGTAAACAGGCGTGTGGAGTAAGGAAACTCGGCCTAAGGTTTCTCCCTGCCCAAGAATCGAACCCAGGTCCTCTGGCTTGCGAGGCGAGTGCGCCAACCAATACGCTACAGGACACGATCAAGATTGAATTGAAGAGTGTTTGAAAATGTTACATTTTCTTAAATTCTAAGATTAAGGTTCAAGAGTTTCAGAAATTTAAGGCTTCAGATTAAAAAGTTCACAGGATCCAGATTTGTGAATATAGAGAAATGTGCATTAACTTACCAGTGTTGACGTTAGTGTCACTGGTTATTTACAGAGGGGATCGCAATACAGTCAACATTCCTCTGATGCAATAAAGCTTTAGAGGTTCCCAGGCGGGATCTCACACTCACATCCTGCACACACACACATACACTCCATGGAAAAGATTTCTGTGACATTTTAACATCAAACACAATGGATTATTATGACAAGGTCCCCTCTGAATCTGAGCGGCTTGTAATTGTGCAACCCGTAGTTTAGTGGCTAGAGCATGGGTCCGATTCCCGGGCAGGACAAAACATTGGGCACGTTTCTTTACTCCTCACGTACGCCTGTTTACCTAGCAGTAAATAGGAACGCGGTTGTTAGTCGATTGGAGGATCGGTTTTCCGGGGGTAATAATCCTTTAAAAAAGTAAAATACTTTGGTTACTCAATCCACGACTGTGGGTCACTGCTGTGCGCAATTGGCTGCTGCGTTTCTCCCACAAAATAGACAGTCAATTCATTTTACAGTATATTCTGTAAAGCCCTTTGAGACGTCTCGAAGATGTGAAAAGGCACTATGTCAAATTCAAGGATTATTATTATTAATGACACACCCCTGGGCTCAGAGGCATTGCCAAGATGCTGTCAGAAACAGCTACTGGTAGTAAACGGGTTACAGAGTCTCTCTAAACACTGACTTTTTAATATGTTTGAAATTAAATGATAATCATTTCAATTCCTCTAAGTGGCTACCATTTTGAGAGAACTGTTTACACTGCAGCCCACACATATTCTGGGGGGAAATCACCAAAGTCTATGTCACAGTCTCTGCAGTGTGGGATGGAGCTTGTGACTGTTCCTATTTATTTTATCTTTGTCAGGGACCGCAGTTTGAAGCTTCTCTCTGTCGCCAACTTGTGCCTAATTTAACAAATATGGAACATAGAAACTTAGCACCTTGGTCACCTAATCCTAGCTGTCCATCATAATAATCCCTCAAGGAAAAAAAACAATAATAAATTGGTCACTTCAATCCACGACTGTTTGTGGGACGCTGCTGTGCGCAATTGGCTGCCGAGTTTCGCCCACAAATATACAGTCGATTCACTTTACAGAGTATTCTGTGAAGCCCTTTGAGATGTCTAGAAGACGTGAAACGCGCTATATCAAATGCAAGGATTATTATTATTATTATTATTATCATGCCTGCACTGCCTCTCTGCACGAGCTCGCCATTTAGTCCCATTCTTCTCCCTTTTCCTCAAATTTGTTTACATTCTCCTTTTCAGATGTTTGTCTGATTAGTTAAAAGCTAAATACCGATTCCGTCTCACCCAAGGTTCCACCTCCGGCACTCCTAACAACCCTCAGTGTAGAAACAATTATTAGAAAATCAATCCCCATTGTTTTCATTCACGTCTGATCCTTAGCTATGTGCAGACTTCCTGAACACAACCACCTGTTCTATGGTCTTTGCACTCTCTCGCCAATTTATGCCTAATATTTTCCAGGATTAGGTGAGCAAGGTGTGTCCCTCCAGGGAGAGAGTGTGCGCTCCATTGTAGACACAGGGGAAATTATATTACATGTGTGGAGATCTCCGCATTTCTGTTTCAAGTATTAAATATGGTAATGTTTGCAATTTGAAGATGCTCCTTGATGGCACGGGTCCACACGCCTCTGTTTACTTAGCAGTAAGTAAGGAACCCTCTTGTTAGTCGATTGACGGATCGCTTTCCAGGAGTAATAATCCCTCCAAGAAAAAAAGTTGCTCACTCAACCTACGACTGTTTGGTGGGACGCTGCTGTGCGCCCGCAATTGGCTCCTGCTTTTCGCCCACAAAAATACACAGTCGTTCCTCTCTGCAGTAATATTCTGTGACGAGCTTTGAGGCGTCTCAACAACACGATAAAGTGCTACATCAAATGCAAGGATTATTAGGACTATTATTATTATTAAGGGTCCATGGTTGTAATTTGGAGACATTCCCCGCTGAGGAAAGGGTTTGTGATTGTGATTTCGAGACACTCCCCGGCGGGTTGGCAGTGACAGAGGGAAATGATTGACGTGTCAGATTGAATGAGAATCAGAATCACCCAACACACAGTCTCACAGTCACACACACAGACAGGACACAGGGCACACGGCGGAGAATGGACTGGAGGGAGGAGATGGGGACAGGACACAGAGAGAGAGAGAATATACAGACACAGACCTAAAGTGGCTGTAGACAGACCAGGGAGAGGGAGGAAAGATCTAAACAAAGTGAGAGAAAGAGAAAGAGACGAGCGAGAGAGAGAGAGAGAGAAAGTAAAAAGAAACGAGAGAGAGAGAGAGAGAGAAGGAAACAGACAGTAAAGGGGAGAAAGTGACAGGAACACACTCTCACTCTCACTCACACACACACACAGCAGAGATGAGCTGAGAGGGAGTAGGACACGTCGCTATCTCCCTGTGTGGAGCTTCCCCCAACCCCCCCCCCTCTTTCCCCCTATACACATCTCCAATTATTCCTCCCTAAAAAGAGAGAGACCCCCATAACCGCACTCAAGGGGCTGGAGGACAAGAAAGAGCACTGAGGACCCGCACTGCACTGGCCACTGGGCAACTCAGCCACGTTTTTGTTGGTGGACGAAGCAAAGTTGGATGTTGCCTTGGGTCCACCTGCTGAGGATTTTGCTGTGTGGTGTGTTGTATGGAAATGGGTCCGAATCCCCTCTACATCACTGTGGAGGTGCTGATCGCTGTGTTGGCCATCCTGGGCAATGTCCTGGTCTGCTGGGCGGTTTCCATCAACACCAACTTGAAGACGGCCACCAACTATTTCCTGGTGTCCCTGGCTGTAGCCGATATCGCGGTGGGCCTCTTCGCTATCCCCTTCGCTATCGTCATCAGCATTGGCCTTCCCACTGACTTCCACGGCTGTCTCTTCCTCGTTTCCTTTGTGTTGGTCCAGACCCAGAGCTCCATCTTCAGCCTCCTCGCCGTGGCCATTGACAGGTATCTGGCCATCAAAGTGCATCTCAGGTAAAGGGTTAAAGGGCATTGGAACGGGTGAAATGGTTAATGTTACTGATCGCGCCTGACGACCTTCCTCTTCATCCGTGCCTACAGTCACCTCTCCCCCCCACCAGCTCGGTGTCATGTTCTGCTGCTGTCCAGCTCTCTGGGATGCCACCCTGGGTGAAGGGCGCGATATAAATGCAAGTTGTTGATGTTGTTGCATTTGATACAGCGCCTTATCACGTTGTTGCAACACCTCAAAGTGCTTCACAGGATATACTGTAAAGTGGATTGAGTGTATATTTTGTGGGTAAAACGCGGCAGCCAATTGCGCCCACCAGTGTCCCACAAACAGTCGTGGATTGAGTGACCAAATTTTTGGGGGAGATATCTCGCCCCCCTTGTGGCTAGATCGTTTTTTTCACACAGTAGCTCAGGAATTGAACATCTGGACAACTATCTACTGTATCTACTCTCTGGACTGCACGTCCCAAACCAGGTTATTGGGAGGGCTCGGTGTACCTGGAATACACTTTGAAAAATATTATAAGGTAGAAAGCAGTGTTGACATTTATTATTAATAATAATTATAATCCTTGCCTTATCACGTCGTCGAGCCATCTTAAAACGTTTCACAGAATATACTGTAAAATGGATTGACCGTATTTTGTGGGCGGAAAGCGTCAGCTATTTGAGCACAGCAGTGTCCCACAAACAGTCGTGAATTGAGTGAGTGACCAAATCTATTTTTTGGAGAGAGGGAGGTGACATTAGTCACGGTCAAAGAGGAAGATTTCAGGCGCTGTATATCTTTACAGTTGTTGTAGCGAGTTGGAAACTTCTTTTTCTGGAAATACGTGTCCATAAAGTATATCTGGCTCCCAGCACATGACGGACAGCCGCGTGAAGACTGATCAAATTCCAAGTTGCTTCCCACCAGTTCACTTCCTGTTGTTGATGCACTGGTGGCATTTTCTTTACTGGTGGCTTTATAAATGGAATCTTGTTGTTGTTGTTGTTGTTGTTTCTGTTGTGTTGTCATCTGCTGAGACTTTTGTGCGCGCTCCGCCAGTGTCAAGCGCTCTGGGATGCTATCCTGAGTGAGGGACACTGTGTAAATGCAAGTTGTTGTTCTGCCGCTCTAGAGCAGGGTAGAATCAGCAGTTTTCTGTCTCCCTGGTACAGGAGTCTGTCTCAAGACCTTCCTCTTTGACCAAACCGACATGATAAGGCGCTATATCAAATGCAAGCATTATATATATAACCGAGACTGCCATATCAAGTCAGTTTGAAGTCATGTGCTATGTACTTGGGTTAAGACTCTGGTTTGTTTCCTGAGCAGTTTTGATGTGTAGCAGAGGGAGGAGCTGATTAGACAGCACTATGTTCATGAACTGAGAAAATCTATCGCTACCAAATTAATCCTATTAATACCTAAATGTCCAATAAATTCCCCCAAACCTCCTGATCCTAAGCATTCTTCCCGACTCACAGTGATTGATCCTACATAAAGGCCAGTGTTAGAGGCATAAGTTTGAAATTCTAAGTTATTAATTATCATAGTCATTGCAGTGGTCTCTGATTCTTCATGGCTTGTAAAAGTAAAATCATTATAACTTGGCTAGATAGAAGAAATTGAGCAAATTTGCACTACATTGAGAAATATTCATTACATGAAGCAAACGGAACAAAATCCCCTCCCTTTTCCTCTCTTGGGAGGTTAGCAATGGCCAGTTTATACAAGTTTTCTTTGCAAAATACACAGTCACTCCACTTTACAAAATATTCTCTCAAACGCTTTGAAATGTCTCAATGACGTGATGAGGCTATATAAAATCCAAGGATTATTATTATTATTAATGCACGTCATTTTTTTTATTGTGGTAAATGTAGGCTTGTAAAGTTAGAGAATTGGGAGCTGGGGTAGAATGAAAATTAAAATTAGTGACTGTTCAGATCAAAACTGAGGTGCCATTCAATGCAGATTACACAAATTCAATGAGGATTTTCGCAACCTCTATTGACCAATTCTCCAGGTTACAAAATCAGGTTGAACAGTCAATCACTCTGGGCTCTTTACGTGCAGCAGATTATAGTAAGACATAAATTGGCATTTTTACAGTGCCTCGTCATGTTGAAACATCTGAACAAACTCCACACTTAGTTGCTGTCAAGTAGTGTCAAGTAATGTCCACCTGAAGAACAAGGCAAATGGGTCCTCAGTTTAACGTCTTGTCTGAAGGGCGGCAGCTCCAACCATGTAGCCCTCCCAGGACCACACTGGAGTGTCCTTCTAGACTAAGCATTCATGACAGAGGAGGACGAATCACAATGTACACACGTCACTTGAGAAGGGTATGAATCGCAGATTACTGATAAATGACGATTCCTATAGCAGCAACATAAGGTTCGAGTTAACCTGTGATAGAAGTGAGATTGCAGTGTAAACAAGGCACAGGAATTGATACTGCGATGTCATAAACTGATCAAGACAGACAGCTAGAAAATGTATGAAGAATATGATGAAGATTTTAATTTGACAAAGAATACTTCTTGGAGTATAACAGTATTAGGTTATTATGTGTAATATGTTGTTAATGGAACTTGTTGGGGTGGCGTAAAGATGCTAAAGTTGATCTAGGTATTTCCAGTTCTGGGAAAGCAGGAAATCAGACGGGTATCTGACTGTTGTCTATGACCCGTGTGTCTGTATTAGGTGAGGACAGGACCCAGCTTAAACGTGAGCCCTCCCTCCGCACCTCTCCCTCTCTCACAGACTGCCATAGTCAGGCTCACATGCGAAGCATGACCACTTGGATGAGAAAGGCATTGACAAAGACTATAACATCAAAATGCACTTCACAGGGAAGCGTTGTGTGTTTGGAAGCTGATGTAGCAGCCAATTTGTGCACAGCCAAGAGCCCAGAAACAGCTCTGAAATGAAGACCAGTTTGCTTGTGCCAGTGACTGATCTAGCACTCTCAACAGAGGGAGGGCGAGGAAACTGAAAGAGGAAATGTAAGCTGTAGTGAAGCGTTTTGGTTGAGACAAAGTTGATTGGACTATAACAGGATCTGGAACCTCGTTCATGACAAGAACACTGAACCGAATGCATTGGTGTCAGGTTGGCTTAGGTTCTAGCACACTCTCTCGAAGTCACAATGTTGTTGGTTGAATTGCCTCTTTGAGTTCAGTCTAGGTTGACACTCCAATTGTCGGAGGTGCTATTCTTTGGAATAGACGTTAAACTCATGCCCTTCATACCTATTCGGATTGATGTTAAATTCTATCATGTTCGGTTCTGGTGACACTGTTGGAAAAGAGATCATTTCCTTTCTCCAGATAAACTGGTCATTGATTTCAGGGTTATTGATGTGCTCCATCTAATTGGCTATTACAACTGCTTACATCTACACAACAATGCAAAATACAGAATACATTCACTTACTTCCTGTGTATCCTGTGAAGCACATTGAGACATACTCTCCCAAAAGCACTCCAGGTCAACTCACGCAAGGTCATCTCGTTATAACACGTACAACCCCCTAAGGCATACGTGCACCCCAGTCCCATTCATTTTCCTACCAAAAAACACATTGATTTCTTTGCACTAGTCGTATTTTGCAAGTCGGATATGAATTTTAACTTTGTGGTTCAGACAGCTGCGAGCTGAATTCCCTCGCCTGCACTGTATGTCAGAGTTTCAAAGCTTGGGTCTGGCATCAAGACTTTGGTTCTACTCCAGGGTCGAGGCCTAATGATTTATTCAGTGGAATTTTCCTCCAATGATCCTTTATTTTGTTATGTTGAGCAGTCGTTTGGAGTAAATATTTACTGAGCTCCCCAGTGTCTGCAGGAGTCCAAGTTAAACATCCAGAGTATGGAGTTTCCACGCTACTTCAGCGGTTGATGTTTGCATTTAGGTTTTTTGAATTCTGTTCTCCGGGTTTGCATTGGTTCTTTCATTTTTATTGATACCCGCTTCAACTTCTTTAACTCTAAAGCTATAAGGTTCCATCTAGTCTTGGCTCCTCTGTAAGCCCGTTTTGACTGAAAATTTTTAATTTAATACAGAATTTGTGGAAAATTTGTGGAAAAATGGCTTAATTGACGGTTCGCTTTCTGCTGAGGGTTAATAATTTCTTCAACAAAAAAAATAATAATTTTCAAGCCACGACAGCTTTTGGAACACTGTTGTGTGCAATTTTTGTCCACAAAATATACAGTCAATTCACTTTACAATGTATTCTGTGAAGCACTTTGAGATGTCTCAATGATAAAAATAATAATCCTTGCATTTGTTATAGTGCCTTATCAAGTAGTTGAGACATCTCAAAGTGGTGCACAGAATATACCGTAAAATGAATTGACTGTATATTTTGTGGGCAATATCACTCTGAGATGTAAAAAATCTTAAATTCAATTGTAGATTAGAAACGGGTTCCTTTTAAGAATCTGTTTCCGTTTTAGGACTGGATTTAAGAGTTTTCCATAATTCTAAGCCACCTGACTCTTTAAGACAGAATGTATTTAGGGGCTGAGACTAGGCGGGATTTCAGATTCCTAAAGAAGAGGTCAAATACAGTAACAAATTAAGTTGGTGCCTCTCCCAGGGAGTGAGGGACACTGGAACCATCTCACAAGCAATAACTATAATCCTGTATAATTTGGGATGCGGCAACTGGATTGTTTGTGTAGAGACGCAAACACACACAAGCATTGTCTACCTCATTCCCTGGACCTCAAAACTATGGGACCTCTTCCCTTACTCAGTTTTCTCTTCCTCCTACAATCTACAGACATTCAAAAGTCAAGCTTGGCTTAAGTTTGAAACGTATGTACAACAACTTGCATTTATATAGTGCCCTTCACGCGCTGCAGTGTCTGTAGATTGTAGGACGAAGAAAATCGACACTTGTTTTAATGTCTGCATGTCTGCTGGTGTTTTTTTCTGAAGGCCTTTTGGCAAATGAAAAAGTGGGTTCCAGAGAAATCATTTCCTATAACTGTTTCTCGGAACATGT